TAGATAGATAGATAGATTAGATAGATGATATATAGATGACAGATGATAGGTACAATGATAGATAGATGGATAGATGGATGATAGAGATAGATGATAGAAATATAGGCGATAGATTCGATAGGGGATAGGTAGACAGACAGACTGTCTGACTGACTGACGGATGGACAGACGGATGGATTGTTGGGAGCTATTTTTGCTCAGCGCAGCATCTCAGTGTTCTGAATCTGTCAGACGGGGGTCCCCAGCATGGTTCCCGTGGGTGCCCTGGTGCCCACCGACACCTTTCCTGGCGCCTGCCAAGTGTTTTTAGGAAGCGGGTGGGGCCAGCAGATCCTCTGATTGGCCACTAGGAATCTGAAAGATCCTGCCAGGTGACCGTTCCTTAGCTAGCTCAATATGTATGCTTGTGTGTAAGCAAGGGGGGTAAAAATTGAACCATACGTTCATGTTTTTAAAGCATCAAACAGAGCTCATGCCTGGAATGCTGAAGAGCTCCGATCAGAGTTGCGCGTGACCTCACTCCCTGTCATTTTGTGGTTGGCTCCACCTTCTGTGACGTCCATTTTGTGGCTGCACCCACCACCCTTTGTCAGAATCCCAGAGGTGCCTGCAGGCTCAAAAAGGTTGTGGGGGGGTGGGCCTGCTCTAGGGAAATAGTTGGCTTTCTTTTTTAAAAAAAGTTTGTTTTGGGGGGAACCAAAGTAAGTTGAATGTACACACTGCCCTCACCTCCAAAAATATGAATGAATTGAACAAGGATTTTCTGCAATTTCAGTTTCCCTATCCCTGCCCTCCAGTGATCTGATTTTCAGTTTTCTTGTGTTTACCCCACTGGAAAATATGGAAAGTTTCTGTTAGGGATGCCAGCCTCCAGGTGGGACCTGGGGTTTCCCCAGAATTACAGCTCACCCCTAGACTATGGGTATCAGTTCCCCTGGGTGGAAATGGATGTTTTGAAGGGTGGACTCTATGGCATTGGACCTCATTGAGGCCCCTCTCTCCCCACCCCGGGCTCCAATGCCGTATCTCTAGGAGTTTTCCAGACTGGAGTTGGCAACCATAACCCCCATGCACACTGGTGGCTAGGATGACCTGGGAACTCTAGAAGGCATGATATAGGTCCTTTCCACACTAGACCTTAAATCCTGGTTCAACCTTGTCCCCGAACTTATATTCACCCCTGTAATTATCTCGGGGTATTTTTTTACATTCTAGACTACACTCAAGTTCACCCCTGTAATTATCTCAGGGTATTTTTACATTCTACACTACACTCGAGTTCACCCCTGTAATTATCTCGGGGTATTTTTACATTCTACACTATACTCGAGTTCACCCCTGTAATTATCTCGGGGTATTTTTACATTCCTACACTCGAGTTCACCCCTGTAATTATCTTGGGGTATTTTTACATTCTACACTACACTCGAGTTCACCCCTGTAATTATCTCGGGGTATTTTTTGTTTCCACATTACGTTGAGGTCACTCCAGGTTCACCCCACACTTATCCCGGGATAAATGGATGCTGTTGTAACCAGGGATAAATGCAAGGTATTGTGTCCTGAGTTGAACTCTGATAAAACCAGGGATGAGATCCAAGTGTGGAAAGGACCATAGAGGGATCTTGTCAGATCTCGGGAAGCTAAGCAGGGACGGTACTTGGTTGGGAGACCACCAAAGAAGACACTACAGATCAGGGCAATGGCATCCCACCTCTGCTCCTCACTTGCCTCGAAAGAACCATGCTAGCGTCCCCATAAGTTGATTGTGACTTGCTGGTGCGTATGTATGTACATAGACCAAAGGTATCACTCGGTAGAAGGCAGCTTCGTGTGACGCTAGGGACTGAACCTAGGACAGCTTGCATACAAATTGTGTGTTTGACCACTGAACCGTGGTCCCTCCCTGTGGGTCTTCTAGAACTGTCTTTGAGGCCCATGTTGGGTCTGGGGCGGGCATCTGTTTCATCCAACCCTGGTTAGTGGCTTAACCAAAGGCAGGCACTCGGCTTGGGGACCCCAGACTCATCGCCGTGCCTATGCAAATACAGATAATGATGTATGCCTTTGCTGGCATCAACCTTCTGCAAGAGATTTTCTACACATAAATATTGGTCTAGGGAGGTGCAAAACAAAGCACACAAATGTCGAGCTGATGACTTCCGGCGGCATCTTGGGGAAAATAAATGTCAGGTGCTGACTGTTCATCTCATCAGGGGGAGCCATTTCAAGATGGGAAACGGCTTGTTTACCTGCCGCCGCCGAACGCCATAAATTTGGCCACACCAGGAGTGGAACGTCAACACACGGATTTCAATTCAACCTTTCTGAATCCGCTATTTGCAAGTTTATGTCATGTTCCCTTCCCCTCCCTTTTCTCTCTCTCTCTTTCCCCTTTACAGGGCAGAACCCCCGAACTCCACAGCCTGGACAAAGTTTGGGCTCTGTTACCCCCGGCCTGCTCAAGGCCAGCTACAACAGCTATCAAGAAATAATTGCCAACTCTCTTTTAAACCTAGGCCAAATAGCAGAAGGATCGCTGGCAGACCGAGGGCCTGAAAGCGAAGGGCGAGACTCCCAAGTTGGCGAGGACGTCATGCATTTAGCACACGAAGGAACAGCGGAGGAGGAGGAGGAGGAGGAGGCAGTGGAGGAGGAGTGCGAGAAGGAGATCATCATCCAGACGGAGGACGCAGAGGAGGTCATCGAGGTCACCAGCGAACGCAGCAGCGACATGTGCCTGGAACATCGGGAGGACGAGGCGAGTGGCGAAGAATCCTGCAAACTGGAGAAGGAGGAAGAGGAGGAGGACAATGAAGAGGAGGAGGAGGAGGAAGAGGAGGAGGAGGAGGAGGAAGAAGAGGTGGAGGAGGAGGATGACGAAGAGGATGAGGATGAGGAAAGGATGGCCGAAGTGATCTGCGAAGAAGCCCGCCACGCATCTCAGGACTCCCCCAAACCCCACTGTGAAGGCCAGGTGGTCAGTCCCAAGCCCGAATATTCAGTCATCGTGGAGGTGAGGTCTGACGATGACAAGGACGACGACTCCCACTCCCAGAAATCCACTGTGACGGACGAGTCGGAGATGTATGACATGATGACCCGGGGGAACCTGGGCCTCCTGGAACAGGCCATTGCCCTGAAAGCGGAACAAGTGAAGGTCGTGCGGGAGCCCGGCCAGCTCACGGGGGAGCACGTCAAACATTTCCAGGTGGAGGAAAAGCAAGGCAAAGCCCTGGACTCCATCAGGAAGAGCTACTACAGCAAAGGTGAGGAGCTGCTCTTGCCTGTCTCTATCCCAGATGATCTTGGGGATGGTCTACCAATCGGTTGGGATTCTGGGCTCACCTCTTGCTCGATGCTTTCCACTTAGGCTGTGGGAGGTTTTTATGGGCCTGGGTGGTTCCAGTAGACCCAGAAGAGCCGTAACGTGCTGAAATAAGGGCAGCTCACCTCTTAGCCAGCCCTGAACTGGATGACCTAGGCTAGCCCAATCTCAGTTTGGTGTCGTGGTTACGTGCGCGGACTCTAATCTGGGAGAACCGGGTTTGATTCCCCACTCCTCCAGATGCACCTGCTGGATGACCTTGGGCAAGCCGTAGCTCTGATAAGAGCTGTTCTTGAAAAAGAGACGTTTCTGTCAAGAGCTCTCTCAGCCCCGCCTACCTCGCAGGGTGTCTGTTGTGGGGAGAGGGAGGGAAAGGAATTTGTCAGCTGCTCTGAGACTCCTTTGGGTAGTGAAGGGCGGGGTATCAATCTAATCTCTTCTCTTCCTCTTCTTTTTCATCATCATCATCAGATCTTGGAAGCTAAGGAGGGTTGTACCTGGTTAGTTCTTGATGGGAGACCACCAAGGAAGTCCAGGGTTGCTACACAGAGGCAGGCAATAGCAAACCACCTCTGTTCCTCTCTTGCCTTGAAAACTTTATGGGATCACTCACCATAAGTCAGCTGTGACTTGACAGTGCTTTCCACCACCCGCATGTAACCCTTTGAGCAACAGAGAAGTAAACGCAGAACTCTTAGAACCAACGCTCCCTCTAAGCTGCAGAGTCTTGTGAGGTCCCCACTGGTGGACCTCCTGATGGCACCTGGTATTTCTAGACACACACGAGCCAATCAGTTAAAACAAGTATAAAGCCAACAGTCGTGATAGTCTGACCCACAAACAGTCATAAGACTTATAAAGAATGCTGTTTATGTATTGCAATCTAAAGCACTACAACATGATACACAACTCAATAGAAAATCCTTGAACCAGGTACATAATCACATAATCAACGTCGTCTCTGGATTACATAACAACGTTTCCAAAAAATGGATCTTCTTCAGGATCTAGTAGAAACATAGCAGCATATTTTGAGCTTGAATGTTAATTGAGATCAGCGTCCTATCTGAATGTAATATTCTTAAGACTTGTTGTCTAACATTTATGAAACGGAGAGCTTTGGCACCACTATAATATCTCCTGAAGAAGGGGGGAAAACAGCCACGCCCCCCCCCCCCTGCATTTTCTGGCCCGTGTGACCAGGGCCACAGTCGATTAATGGTGATTCCCTAGGGATTTTCTAGGCAACAGACCTTCAGAAGTGGTTTGCCATTGCCTGCCTCTGCGTAGCAACCCTGGAGTTCCTTGCTGGTCTTCCATCCAAGTCCGAAGCAGAGACTCTCAGTGTCTCAATCAGTTCCCAACAGCTTTCATTCAAAGAAGTAAAGTTTATCGAGACATTGAGAGTATGCAGATACCTTAACCATTGCGTGTTAGAACTGAAGAAAAGCGCATGCAGCAAGCAGATATACATAATTCAAGGAGGCCCCCTGATGGCCCAGGGCCAATCAGGGATCAGGTAGAAGCCCACCAAAGTAACGGGCTACGTTTCCCAAGAGAAAGACTACACCAGGCACTGAAGGTCAGACAGAGACAACAGAAACATAGAAGACACAGCAGAATTGAAACTTGACATTCCAGAGTCAACCCCACTCCCATGGCAGCCAGGGCTTGAGAAAGGCCTAGCTGACACCTGCTTCGCTTCTAAGAACTGATGAGATTGGGCTAGCCTGAACCATCCAGGGCAGGGCAGATGGGTTTGCCATTGCCTGCCTCTGCATAGCAACCCTGGACTTCCTTGGTGGTCTCCCACCCAAGTATTAACCAGGGCCGACCCTGCTTAGCTTTCAAGATGTGATGAGACTCAGCTAGCGTGGGCCATCCAGGTCAGGGCAGACTAACGGACATGATTTGCCGCTGCCTGCCTCTGCGTAGCAACCCTGGACCTCCTTGGTGGTCTCCCACCCGAGTACAAACCAGGGCCAACCATGATCTGATGACACTGGGCTAGTCTGGGCCATCCAGGTCAGGGTATTCCAGCACTAGAAACTGTGCCGATTTATAATGCCAGATCCCCACATCGGTGGCTGTTGCACTTGTGAAACCATTTAAAGGTAAAGGTCTCCCTTGCTCG